GGAGCTGCCCAGGTGAAGTGAAGGCCAAGGAGCATTACGGCAGAGGAAATTAGTCCTGAGAATTAAGGAACTAAGGGGAGCTATGTGCATTCAGTACTGCTGGAGCACAGATGGGTGAGAAACGATATGAGTGAGCCCAGAGTAGGAGTGGAAGTTCCACCCAAGTTGCTGTGGTGGGGCTTGCAAGTTTGTATGGAGCCCCTAAATTGTGCTATGGTGTCTGGACTTCATCCTGTCACTGGTGGGGAGCCCATGGACTGACATGGGACGCTCTGTGGTTGAGGTGGCTTATTCTGGTAATGTAGAGGATGGTAACAGCTAACTTTCATTGAATGCATTTAATGTGCCAAGCACTGTTGTAAGCATTTTACATGTATCACATGTTGAAACCATCCTACTCTTAATAGTATCATGTTACTGACACACAGATTAAGTAGTTTGCTCAAGTTTACACAGTCAAATGGCAGAGCCAGGACTCAATCCCAGTAATCTGACTCTAACCCACAGTGAGATGCTGCTGAGTAGGTAAGAGCATGGCCAGACCATAGGGAAGAGATGAGCTGCCCTGGGTACAGGTAGCCAATGGAGGGAAGTGTGCTTGGGCTGCCATAACCCAGCACCATAGACTGAGTTGCCTCCCAGCAGAGACTTATCTTCTCACAGCCCTGGAGACTGGAAGTAGAGCACCTTCATGCTGTCAGATTTGGGGTCTGGGTTCTTGCTTGTAGTTGACAGAGGGCTGCCTTTTTGGTTTGCCTTCACTTAGCCTTTCCTCTGTGTGTTCATGTGCAAAGAGCCAGCTCTTCGGGGTCTCTTAGGAGGACACTACCCTATCAAACAGGGCCCCACCCTTGTGACCTCATTGAACCTTAACTGCTTCCCTAAAGGCACCCTGTCTCCAAAGACAGTCATCCTGAGAGTTAGGGCTTCAACATGGTGGGGTGGGGTGGGGTTCCGGGGACGGGGCAGAAAACACTCCAGCCTTAACAATTCCAGAAAATATTTAGGAGATAAAATGAGCACAAAAAGTTGGTAATGGAGTTGATGCGGAAAGCAAAGGAGAAGTGGGGGTTTAGGATGACTCAGGTTTCTCACAGAGGACACAGGAAAAGCACATTTGGGGGAATGGCCGTTCAGTTGGGATTCTAGTAAACTAGAAGCACCTGGGAAGCATCCAAGAGGTGTCAGTAGTACTGACTTGAGGAGGGGTATCAGCATCTGAGGGGAGTTGAAGCCACAGTTTGGGTCAAACCACCTAGAGAAACGTGGAGTGAAAAAGATAGTTTAAAAAAAAAAAAAACGGGAAAATACTTACACTTAAGAGGTAAGCAGACAGAGTGAAGGGAGAGGCAAAAAAAGTAGGAGACATCCAACCCTGAAGCCAAAGGAGGAGAGAATTTCAAGCAGCAAGGGATCCTTAACACTCAAGTTCTTTAGCCTCTTGTGCATCAGATTTGTATTCTTCCGTGAGAAAAGGGAATAATGGTAGAATCATCGTGTTTTATCGCCTACTAGGACCAGAGAGCAGAGAAGGCAATGGCACCCCACTCCAGTACTCTTGCCTGGAAAATCCCATGGATGGAGGAACCTGGTAGGCTGTGGTCCATGGAGTTGCTAAGAGTTGGACATGACTGAGCGACTTCATTTTCACTTTTCACTTTCACGCATCGGAGAAGGAAATGGCCACCCACTCCAGTGTTCTCGCCTGGAGAATCCCAGGGACGGGGGAGCCTGGTGGGCTGCCGTCTACGGGGTTGCACAGAGTTGGACACGACTGAAGTGACTTAGCAGTAGCATGACCAGAGAGAATATTTTCCAATCCCCTCATTTTGAAACAAGGAAACTGAAACCTCACAAAGCCTAGAGTTTGTCTCTCTCATGGTGCAGATGGAGCTAGAATTTAGGTCTCCCAAGCCTCTTGACTTGAATCCAGTGCTTTTTACGATATATCAAGTTACATCAATTTGTGGGATTTGAAAAGTGGCTTTAAGTTGTTAAAAAAGTTACGCTAAATAAAATGGAGAAAGAAGCATCAGGATTTTATTGTGAATTGGGGCAAAGGAAGAAGTGGTAAATGTCTAAAACTTTTATTTTTTTGGCCATGCTGAGTGACACATGGGAATCATAGTTCACCAACCAGGGATTGAACCTGCACTCCCTGCATTGGATGCACAGAGTTTTAACCGCTGGACCACCAAGGGAATTCCCTAAAATGCCAGATTCTTTACCAACTGAGCCACTGGGGAAGCCCAGGAATACTAGAGTGGGTAGCCTATCCCTTCTCCAAGGGATCTTCCTGACCCAGGAATTGAACTGCGGTCTCCTGCATTGCAGGTGGAGTCTTTACCAACTGAGCTATTGGGGAATCCCCTTAAAATCTGAAAAAGAGAGACCAATTGTGTTGTCCTTGAATCCTGATAAGTAAATTGACTGGGGCCTGGGGGCAGGGATTCTGTTTCTACTCTATTTAGAGTGGAAATAGTACATTACCAGGGTCACATATTAGGCCCTGGGCACACATTTATGAATGTGACTCCTTTTTATGTTTTTACTATCATTGACTAGCCCCATATTAGGATTTAGCAATACCATATTATTAGAAAATTAGTATTAAGTCAGTATCTTATTACAGGCTTCAAACTGTCAGACTTCATTACTTTTGGAGAGAAATAGCTCACTCTTTTACAGTATTTCAAAGTTGCCTTCAGCCTAATGGACTCCCCTAAGTGAAAATTTCTGTTGGTAACAGAGAGACCATGCATCATATAATTCAGTTAATGAAATTTCTGTTGAGTATTAATTATAAGTAAAGCACTATGCTAAGTACTTCAGTTTTGTAGGTTGATCTGCAAGATACGTTGAATCTGTTGTAGGTACAAATAATGTCATGTAAACCTTTAGATTCACAAATATTTCAGTGGGGTCAGTGGGGTCAATAGTGCTGGTGTGTCCTCATCAGCACTTATTATTGAAAATATGATTTGCCTTTGGTTTGTACTTAACCACTTTCAAAATTTTAAAAACAAAACTAAAGCAGGCTTAGTCACTGTCTTGGCTTTTTTTGTTTTAATCATCAACTAAGCAAGCATGAATTTGATTTAGTAACACAATGTATACTCAGCTGTGTCTGACTCTTTGCAACCCCATGGCCTGTTGACCTCCAGGCTCCTCTGTCCATGGGATTCTCCAGGCCAGAATAATGGAGTGAGTTGCCCATTTCCTACTCTAGGGGAGCCTTCTGACCCAGCTATCAAGTCTGCGTCTCCTGCGTTGGCCAGAGGATTCTTAACCACTGAGCCACCTATCATATGAAGAGTTAGATGCAAATTCTAAATTCTAATTGAGTAACACAATAGAAAGACTATTTTTCCTACTTTATAACTCTTTTTGAAATCGTGTAAGCCAGCATTCAAAATAATAAATATATACATACCATAAAGATACTCTTGTTCTATGTTTGTATTTTGGTAGGTTTAAGCATGTCAGTTAAGGTAGAATTGTACAGAAAATAAGTGATTGACTGACCAGCAGACACAACTTTGGTACTTGGCCATTAACAGAACTTTTATATGGGATATGCATATTACAGAGAGAACACTTTGTGGAAAATAAACCAACCTGGGTGTATGTAAGCATTATGTAAAAGGACTAGGTAACCCGCAGTCCGTGTCATGAAAATAATGTGTTTGCTACAGAAGGGTAAGGGCCTGCATAGGATGGCTGCTGCTGCTGAGTCACTTCAGTCGTGTCCACTGTGCAGCCCCACAGACGGCAGCCCACCAGGCTACCTGCCCCCTGCAAAGGACAGCCCTCAGCCGAAGTGTGAGCTAGGCAGAGCTCGGCTTCAGAGGGGTCAGAATCCTGGCACAACAAATCTTACTACTGAAGGCATCTAATGAAAAGTTTATAACGCTACACTATCCAAGACTTTCAGTAGAATGAGGAGCTTATCGTATTCATCTTAATAGTCTGATCCTAGCATGGTTCTTGGGAATTAATGTTCAGTAAATGTTTATTAAATAATTGCATTCTGTTCATTAAGCGACACATTAAGAAATTTTGACTAGGGGTTATATTAACATTGTGCTATCATCAGAAGAGGATGCATTTAACAGTTGTTTATTGTGCATCATCTGTAATGCCAACACAGGGTTGACTCTCACCGGGTTGGCATTAGGAATACGAAAACAAATAAAATGGGCCTTCAAGAAGTGAGATTGGGGAAGGACTTGTAAAAGGCTCTGATAAAAATGACTGGTGCCCCAGGAGAAACATGAAGACAAATAACTATGAAATAGTACAATCCTAAAAATATCTACAAACAAAATATAATTATGATATTATCAAAATACAAAGTGCTGTGTGATCCCAGAAGAGAAATTAATTCCATTTGGAGGCAGAAGTATTCAGCAAGATTTCATAGGAAAAGTGACCTGTGAGTGGAACTTTGAAGAATATCCCACTGGCCTCTTGAATATCTCAAATCCATTGTGTCTGTTGCTATATTCATTATTTTCCCATTCCACACATCTCATCTGTCCCAGACCCACATATCTTGACAGTCTTGAACATAACAACTGATTTTACCATTCATCCTTGAGTCGTTCCCTATGGAAAATGCTAGAATCACTTGACTCCCTTTCTTTCTCCTTCAATATTAAATTTGGTCACTGTGGTTGCTTGAAGTTTTGAATAGTTGAGTTTTTAACTATAAGTATCATACTTTGTTCATAATCAAAATTTGTATCTGAGCATATCAGTCTGATAATTGCATATTTTAATTTTGTTCAATTATATCCGGAGATGTCATATTTTGAAACAATTCACTTTTTTCCCCATTGAAAAATACAATTCTACTATCTAAGTAATATAGTGAAAATCCTAAAGAACTTAACTGTTCTAAAGAGGTTACCCTGGTAAGCAGTCATGACAGCATTTTTATTTTAAATAATAATATTATTCTAAGAATATCTTTCTTTAATTTGTCCTTATCTCTACAGAACCATAAAACGTTAGCACCATCCTAGAATCTCTAGACAGTAATACATTTCTGCTGCCATTTGGAGGAGCCTGCACCACAGAATCAGGAGGAGTTGAGTCTGACGTGCCTTCATCTGAAATTCAGACCTCCCCCCAGAAGAATTCTTAGTCAGATTTCATGGTTAGTGAATTGTTTCTTCCAGACTTCTCTAGTACTAAATTTAACGGAAGGCACAGTTATAACTAATTATTTTGTAGAGGTTCTAATGATGTTCTTATACCACTAAAACAATAGATACTCTGAAAACTGAAAGTGAAACTGTCAGACCTTGGCATCTGTAGTGAACAAGTACTTAGAGATCTGTTGATGGATATCTAGGTAATTGTGAGATTAGACCACGAGTGTGGAGGCCTCTGTGCTTTTCTGATGAAACTGTTTAAGTTTTGATAAAATTCATGACGCAAGTCCCGGTCTCTTTCAATCCAAATTTTAAAAAAATCCATAAATACTTATTCTCTAGAGTGGTCTTAGGAATTAGGGAAAGCAGAAGTTTATGAAAATGTTATTGTCTTTCTCTTAAACCTTATGCCAGAGTTACTAAGAATTAGCAGAGTTCTTTGATACAAGATATATCCTTCTGATAACTTGCTGTGGTGAAATACTAGAAAAATGTTTTGAGAAATAAAAGACAAATGTGAGAGTTAAAGGAAATTTTAGTTAATTAACAGAGTTGCATTAAAATAATCTTACCATGATTGTGAAGTCTTAAATTCTAAATTTGCCTGTGCTAGTATAAATGCTAATTATATATTTTACTTAATTTTAAAAATTTTATAGTAAATAGCCAATTTCTATCAATATATAAGATGGAAAATTTGCATTTAGAATTGCCTTCAAAATTAAATTCTTAATGCTTATACAAAATGTAGCTGAAAGGTCTCTAAAGGCCAAGGTGAACACTTTATTTCTGATATGTCCTGTAGTCTGTTGCTGATGTGTATGAGGAAAGAAAGGTATTAAGGACTTCCTAACTGGAGTATTTATCAGCACCACCTACCACTAATACTCATGAACAGTCCTGGAATCGTTTCATACCTGGTGACGTCACCTTCATCCTTTAAGTATTAACTCAGGGTCAGTTCTTGAAGTCATGCTTACTCTCACATCATAAGACTGCAGAACTAGACCTCAAGCTATTTTCTTTCCTCCAAAGTAACATCTGCTATCCAGGAACATATGAATACAGAAATAGCCTCAGGTGTAGTCTCTTTGTCTATACTGCTAGACTTCTGTTACACTAAATTTAATGAGAGCCAATAGAAACCATTAATTTTTAAATATTATATAAGCTCACTAAAATGGGTAAATGTAAATATTAACTACTATTACTATAATATAAAAAATACATAAAGTAATACTTGTAAAATACTCAAATTTATTAATTTTTCTTAACTAATCAAGCTGTTTTTATTCTCTGCTTTGACAATCCTGTTTTTCTCCAAACTTGATTAGATTTATGTTTTCCATTAATCTGCTCTGGCTTCATAACCACAAGACTGTACCATGTATTAAAAGTTGAATTTCATTCTTATGCTTGTTATCTTTAAAAAGAACTCAGTCATTTTTGCTAATCATGTAAGAGTGCTTTCCTACAGTAATAAAATGAAAAACAATACAGAATAAAATGTCTATATATGCCAAAAATTTCCTTATGACTGTGCATTTCTAGTCAGAATAGAATCTTTCCACCACTTTCCAGCTATTCTTGTTCTTTTACATTGACTTTATGAAAATATAATTTATAATGAATCCACACATTCATGAGGCTGACTTTTGAACAAGACTTGAACTAAAGGATCCATGATACTGGTTATTGAGAGTTAATTTATTTGAAAGATGTTATGAGGATATAAAAATGAAAACTTGCCTTTAAGAAGAGAGAATTACATGAGATCAGCACTCAAGAAAACATGAACTGTCTCTTTGGAGAATGGGCCTTTCCTCTTTGATATGTCTTGGTTGAATACCTAACACAGTTGCACAGAAAGATGGGCATTTAACGAAAAGCTTCTAATAATCAGGGAATGAATTTCCTTAGATAAGAAGTAACCAAAACTGCTTTTATTCTCATTGTCCCTAAACGTGTAGGAAGCAGAGCATTTTAATACAGAGCTTGGACAAGAAAGCCGCACACAAAATCAAAAGTATACCATGTAGAAGGATCAAGATTTACAGAGGCCTAGTTATCTGAAGGATATGTTAGTAGAGCCACATGTGTCATTGTATGGCTGTAAACTGATTAAGTTAAGCACTTACTGAAATTGCTTTCTGAAAACTTAAATGATCATAAAATAAGATGCAGAAGTTCAAAGTGGGAAAGTTGCCTTAGACTAAGAGTAAAATGAGAAACCAATTATGTACCAAAGCAGTTTTGCAATACTTAGAAGTTTTCACTAACAGCTAGAAATTCACAGGTGATTTTTTTTTAAAGAATGAGAATTGAATCATCTGTTGCTTGTATTATTAGTGTACTTGTTTAAGCAGAAGTCTTGTTTCTATGCAGTGCTTGAGACTTCTTTTTCACTCCTACTCTCTCTGCTTGTGAGTCATCAAGACCAGAGTGCTTTTTTCCTCCATACACAAAGAAATGCCGTTGACCCATTGTCTTGGTCTGCTCAGGCTGCTGTAATAAATTACCACTGGCTTAACCAGCAAACATTGATTTTTCATGGTTCCAGCAGCTGTTGGTGCCTGGAAGTCTATCAGAATATCAGCGTGGTCAGATTCTGGTGAAGGCCTTCTTCCTGGTTTATAGACCACTGTCTTGCCATTTCCTCATATAGCAGTGAGAAAGAGACCATCTCTTGTGTCTTTCTGGTAAGGGCACTAATCTCATCAGTGAAGGCTCCACCCTCATGACCCAGTTACCTCCCAAAGGTATGTCCATGGGTTCTCAGTCATGTCCGACTATTTGCTACCCCATGGACTGTAGCCTACCAGGCTTCTCTGTCCATGGGGTTCTCCAGGCAAGAATAGTGGAGTGGGTTGCCATTTCCTACTCCAGGGGATCTCCAAATCTCACGTTGGGCAATAGGGCTTCAATATATGAATTTGGAGGAGGGGAACACAAACACCCATCATCAGGGAGTGCAGTGCATCTGTAATCATCCATGTTCTGCCCTATTCATATTCCTCCTATTGAAGGCCATGCATTTGTGAACCCTTGGTGGCTTGTTAGAGAGCTGTGGATGGCTACAGACTTTGCTTAGACAATCTAAGCTTTCTCTGGACTTGAGCAAGGCTAAAACATGCAGAGGTGAAAGGCATGACCTTTGGCCTCATTAACACAAGAACTGATTCAAGTTCTAAAGTATCAGTACAGAGATGTGGTTTTGGTGTCAGAACCTTTCTTCTATATCTCATCTTCTTTCCCTCTCCACTCCACATTCCTTCTCTGTCTTGTGACCTGTGCTTTTTCTGCTCTTTATCCATCAGACCACACTCTGGAGGCAAAATAGGAAAGGCATTGTAGTAATGAATGATAGAGGCTTGAGGAACCAGACTTAGAACCCCAGCCTGGCTCTGCCACTTAATAAATATACCATTTCAGACAAGTGAGATCCTGAACGACATTGTTTTCTCGGTTTCCTCATCTGTAAAATAGGAGTAGCACCTTCTTCAGAGAATACTGTTGAGGTTTAACAAAGTAATGCATTTAAGGTGCTTAGTACACTGCCAAGCACATAGAAATGCATACTAAACAGCTAAAAATGAAAAAGGAACTAGACTTCTTTACAGTGAGCCTGATGGATTTAACATAAGATAATGTGTGACTTCTCTCAGAAAAATTAGCTTTTTCAACAGGGAGTAAGGAAATAATCCCTAAATATGAAATTAGGAATGCAACACAGCTGGTGGGAAAGGCTTTATTTTAAAAGAGCTAATTCCAGCTCCTATAACCATAGGCACATGCTTGTTGTGCTGAATACAGGAATACAGACCTTTGTCCACCTCTTTTTGCTACTTTAAGCTTGGCTGTGTCCCAGGATGAACCATTTTTGCTTTTTTTATGCATGAATTCGTTTCCTAATGTTGCCATAACAAATTACCCACAAAATTGTCTTAAAACAACATAAGTTTATTCTCCACAGCCTGGAGGCCACAAGTCCAAAACCAAGGTGTCAGCAGGTTGGTCCCTCTGGTGGCTTGAGGGAAGAACGTCCCACGAGTCTCTCCTAGCTTCCAGGGTTGCCAGGATTTCTTGACTTGTAGTTGCATCACTCCCATCTCTGCCCGTTTTTCACATTCCCTTCCCCATGTCTTCCTCAGATCTCCCTCTCCCTGTCTCTTATAAGGATATCTGCCATTGGATTTAGGGCCCACTCTAAATTGAGGATTATCTCATTCAAGATTTTTAATTATATTTTCAAAGACCATTTTGCCAAACAAGGTCAGATTCACAAATTCCAGGGTTAGAACATGGACCACCTTTTTGGAAAAGGAAATGGCAACCCACTCCAGTACTCTTACCTGGGAAATCCCATGGACAGAGGAGCCTGGCAGGCTACAGTCCATGGGGTCGCAAGAGTTGGACATGACTTAGCAACTGAACCACCACCACCATACATTTTTGGAGAACCACCATGCAACCACTGCGTACTGTGTAAGAGAACCAGACTCAGGAGAATGGGAGAATGAACTGGGAAGGGAAAACCATACTTCCTGAAGATTCCACAGAGGGGAAATACTGGAGCCTCCCTGCCAGTGTGGGCATGGGACTGCAGATTAGTTTTTTAGGGAAAGAAAACCTGTGCCCACCTGGTAGGTCTTCATCTTCAGCTGCAGTGGACTGCTAAATGGGTGTCCAGTTTCCCTTTCTTTTCCAAGTATGTCAGTGCTCTCTGATTTCCGAAGCCTATTAACTCTGGGTAAAGAACAAGCAGGGCCGCTGGCAGTGCCTGCCCGTGATGGGCTGGAGAGCCGTGGCGGAATGTTCTGAGAGCACCAGCTGAAGGAGACGTCCGCAGGTCTCAGTGTGTATTAACCCCTTCAGTCACTTCACTACCATCAACCCATTTGTAGCAGGAATATACCAGACCCCACGTGTGCCAAGTCACTTAAGTCGTGTCATACTCGGTGACCCTGTGAGGAGCTGGGCTCCTCTCTCCATAGAATTTCCC